CTGAAGAGGATGGTTTGCCTGGAAAACTAGGAGACTGCTCCTTGATAGAATAGTTAACCTCAGTGTGAGTGGAAACACTCATTTAGAGTGTATTAGCCTCATGTAACAACCTGTTTGGTGTCATCATCTTTATCCTTGGTTGCTTGATCAAAGCAGTATTCATGCAGTCATGTCTGTCCACATCATCCTCTTTGGAAACTCTGAAGACGGATGCTTCGCCTGAGAAGACTATGCAGCTTCTCATTGCCAAAGCAGATAAACCTTTCATAGGGTAAGTGGAAACCACTCCTTTAGGGTTTATTGACAATATGTTTCTTGAATGTGATATCCTGTTCAGTGTTATCTCTGTCCCTGGCTGCTTAAACCAGCAGGATAGTCATGCTCATCCGCATCTTCCACTTCATAGAGTCTGAAGAGGTTGTCTTGCCTGGCACGGCTATGAGACTTCTAATTGCCAGGACATATAACCCTTTCATAGGGTGAGAGGAAACAACTCCTTTTTAGTGCACTTGCCACTTGTTTAATGAATGTGACATGTTGGGTGTCATCCTCATTTCTGGTTGCTTGAACATAGCGAGATTCATATTGTCATGTTCATCTGTCTCTTCCCCTTTGGAGAGTCTGAAGAGGCTGTTTTGCCTGGGAAGGTTATGAGTAGAGATGAGCGAATTATTCAAAAATTCGATTCGGCTGATTCGGCGAATTCGCGGAATAAATTCGATTCGAGTCGAATATATTCGCTGCGAATTTGACTTATAAAAAGGGTGTTTCTAGGCTTCAGAGAGCCTTTATATTAGTGCAGAACACTGTACCTTTAATTTAAATGCCCTTGGAGTCTGCTGGGGAAGAGAAATAATACTGTCAGTCAGTATGACATGCAGATGAGTGCCGTCGATCTTAGAATCACCGCACACTTCACTCATTTGGGCAGTCACGGGGCCAAAACCAGAGTGTGGAGCCACAGTGGGGCGGTGGAGGCAGCAGCAATGGGAGGCCATACAGCACCCTATGAAAAAATGGAACCCACCAGCAGTGTGAGGAGACCTGAAAGTGGCACATGGCAGAGTGTGGCGATGGAGACAGCAGCAATGGGATTAACGGGCAGGCCGTACAGGGATTCCATGACACACTCTGGACCTGGCAGCAGCATGAGGAGGCGGTACAGGGGCCCATGACAGATTACGGGCCTGGCAGCAGCATGAGGAGTCGGTACGGGGGCCCATGGCAGATTACGGGCCTGGCAGCCAGCAATGGGAGGCCCATAATCTGCCAGCACCCTATGACAAAATGGAACCCACCAGCAGTGTGAGGAGACCTGAAAGTGGCACATGGCAGAGTGTGGCGATGGAGACAGCAGCAATGGGAGGCCGTACAGGGACCCATGACACACTCTGGACCTGGCAGCAGCATGAGGAGGCGGTACAGGGGCCCATGACAGATTACGGGCCTGGCAGCAGCATGAGGAGTCGGTACGGGGGCCCATGGCAGATTACGGGCCTGGCAGCAGCAATGGGAGGCCCGTAATCTGCCAGCACCCTATGACAAAATGGAACCCACCAGCAGTGTGAGGAGACCTGAAAGTGGCACATGGCAGAGTGTGGGCGATGGAGACAGCAGCAATGGGAGGCCGTACAGGGACCCATGAACACACTCTGGACCTGGCAGCAGCATGAGGAGGCGGTACAGGGGCCCATGACAGATTACGGGCCTGGCAGCAGCATGAGGAGTCGGTACGGGGGCCCATGGCAGATTACGGGCCTGGCAGCAGCAATGGGAGGCCCGTAATCTGCCAGCACCCTATGACAAAATGGAACCCACTCAGCAGTGTGAGGAGACCTGAAAGTGGCACATGGCAGAGTGTGGCGATGGAGACAGCAGTAATGTAAGGGCCGTACAGGGGACCCATGACACACTCTGGACCTGGCAGCAGCATGAGGAGGCGGTACAGGGGGCCCATGACAGATACGGGCCTGGCAGCAGCATAATGGAGGAGCCGGAAATCTGGCACACCCTGGCAATTATGAAAGGGCCTGGCAGATGCAGCAGCAACCGTACAGGGACCCATGGACACACTCCTGGACCTGGGATAGCTTGCACATGAGGAGCGGCGTACAGGGGCCCATGACAGATTACGCCACTGGCAGCAATCTGCATGAGGAGTCCGGGTTGTGTGAGGTCGACCCTGAAAGGGGGCCCATGGCAGATTGTGGCCTGGAGACAGCACAATGGGGAGGCCGTAAAGGGACCCATGAACACTCTGGACCTGGCAGCAGCATGAGGAAGGCGGTACAGGGCCCATGACAGATTACGGGCCTGGCAGTAGCAGCATGAGGAGTCGGTACGGGGGCCCATGGCAGATTACGGGCCTGGCAGCAGCAATGGGAGGCCCGTAATCTGCCACACCTATGACAAAATTGGAACCCACCAGCAGTGTGAGGAGACCTGAAAGTGCACATGTGAGGGAGACCTGAAAGTGGCACATGGCAAGTGTGGCGATGGAGACAGCAGCAATGGAGGCCGTACACAGGACCCATGACACACTACTGGACCTGGCAGCAGCATGAGGGAGGCGGTACGGGGGCCCATGGCAGATTACGGGCCTGGCAGCAGCAATGGGAGGCCTGTAATCTGCCAAGCACCCTATGACAAAATGGCAACCCGACCAGCTTTGGAGTGTGAGGAGACCTGAAAGTGGCACATGGCAGAGTGTGGCCCATGGGCAGACAAGCATATGTGGAGGCCCGGTACCTGGGACAAAAACCCACCAGAAGTGCCTAGTGGCAGCAGCATGATGACAATGGGTACAGAGGACCCATAACACACTCTGGACCTGGCAGCAGCATGAGGAGGCGGTAACAGGGCCCATGGTCACAGATTGACGGGCCTGGCAACAGCATGAGGATCGGTACGGGGGCCCATGGCAGATTGGGGCCTGGCAGCAGCAATGGGAGGTCGTAAAGGTCCAGGACCCATGACACACTCTGGACCTGGCAGCAGCATGAGGAGGCGGTACAGGGGCCCATGACAGATTACGGGCCTGCAGCAGCATGAGGAGTCGGTTACGGGGGCCCATGGCAGATTACGGGCCTGGCAGCAAGCAATGGGAGGCCCGTAATCTGCCAGCACCCTATGACAAAATGGAACCCACCAGCAGTGTGAGGAGACCTGAAAGTGGCACATGGCAGAGTGTGGCGATGGAGACAGCAGCAATGGGAGGCCGTACAGGGACCCATGACACACTCTGGACCTGGCAGCATGCAAGAGGAGGCGTACAATAGGCCCATGGCAGAGCTAGGCGGCCTGCAGCACAGCTTATGAGCTGCCATACAGAGGCCTATGTTACAAAATAATAACATGTTTGGGCATGATTCACTGGCGGATTTAGCAGTTGGAGCATCACGGAACTAATACGGGTTTGAAATCCAGACTAATATCCACGCCTGATTCATTTTTCACAAACGTGAACCTCACTGCACACTTTGGAGTGGACAGTACGTGTAACTCCACGGCAGTTACAATACCAAACCTGGCACTAAACAGCAATGAGAGCCGATGCCACGGGGCACTGCTGCCGGGCATGACAGCCTTTCAAGGAGCAGGAACACACTAGTTGGGGCCCAAACAGTTCAAGTTTCGTCCTGCCCAGTACCAAGGGGATTGTCTACCTCGCCCGTAATGGCAGCAGGGTGCTGTCAGCAAATAGGGGCCCGAAGCCTGTGTTTGAGGTCCTGCTCACAGTCCCACTGAATGCTGCTGCTGCGATGCACTACTGGTTATAGTTTCCCCTCACTGCGCTGACGTGAAGAAAGCTACTCATCACGACTGCAGACTGAGAGCAGCCTGCTCGCATTAGAGTGGAGCTGCCACTCGCTCCTAGCCACCCAGATCCTCCCCTGCTGCCATGGCAGCGTAACACGAGCCACAGGGCCCACAGTGTCTGAGGAATGGACGTTGGCGCAGAAAGGCAGAGACCAACTGACTACATAGGTGGTTTTTATAGTACGTTATTTTGGCCTCCCTCTCAGCAGTGTGAAAAAGGCTAAGGAGCTAAAAACCATTTTGAACGGTAGCGAGGTCCAACAAGGTGCTCAGCCAAAAGTCATCCCTCTGGTCTGATGGCCTTATTCATTCGGCCAGTCCTACGCAAGCAACCGAGCATGCTATGGGCCATTTGTGCCAAGGAATGCGAGGACTTCCCAATGCCTCCATCTCCACAGCATACTGCCACGGTGCGTCCTGGGTCCTCTGTCTCCTCCTCCTCCTCTACCAGATGCTCCTGCTCCTCCACTCCTGTCCCTGATGGAAAAACCACCCATGTTTACTGACAATAATCCTGGGAGCACCAATGTCCTCCTCTACCTCCTCCTCTTCTTCCTGGCGTCCTACCCCCCACAGGGTCATTGGCGTTGAGAGTGCGACCCACGTCTACCGCACCCTGACCAGCCATTGTTTTAACAGCAGTGGTGCCTCCAGGACGTGCAACAGAGGCAATGACGTCGTTCATAACATGCCATTAACTAGTCCTGCCGAACACTCACGAGATATGCGTGGCCTCCTCAAAGGGCCATGACAAGCGGGCAGGTGTCACAGCATGTGCTGCCAATGGGACTGACATCTAAGTTACACAGGGAGTACCTTTATCCGCTTGTAACATGCAGGAAATCGGTGATGGCCTTTCGCTGTCGTAAAGGCGGACTAAACAATTAGGGCGTTGAATTCCACCTTGTTGCAATGTCACAGCATGAGGCTGGTTGGTATGGGTGCCCATGGCAGAATTACGGGCCCCTGGCAGCAGCAATGGGAGGCCCCTCAGTAATCTGCCAGCACCCTATGACAAAATGGAACCCACCAGCAGTGAAGGAGACCTGAAAGTGGCACATGGCAGAGTGTGGCGATGGAGACAGCAGCAATGGGAGGCCGTACAGGACCCATGACACACTCTGGACCTGGCAGCAGCAACGAGGAGAGGCGGTACAGGGGCCCATGACAGATTACGGCCTGGCAGCAGCATGAGAGCAGTAGGGAACGGGGTGCCCATGGCAGATTAACGGGCCTGGCAGCAGCAATGGGAGGCACGTAATCTGCAGCACCCTATGACAAAATGGAACCCACCAGCAGTGTGAGGAGACCTGAAAGTGGCACATGGCAGAGTGTGGCGATGGATAGACAGCAGCAATGGGAGGCCGTACAGGGACCCTGACACACTCTGGACCTGGCAGCAGCATGAGGAGGCGGTACAGGGGCCCATGACAATTACGGCCTGGCAGCAGCATGAGGAGTCGGTACGGGGGCCCATGGCAGATTACGGGCCTGGCAGCAGCAATGGGAGGCCCCGTAATCTGCCAGCACCCTGACAAAATGGAACCCACCTTCAGTGTGAGGAGACCTGAAAGTGGCACATTGCAGAGTGTGGCGATGGAGACAGCAGCAATGGAGGCCGTACAGGGACCCATGACACACTCTGGACCTGGCAGCAGCATGAGGAGGCGGTACAGGGGCCCATGACAGATTACGGGCCTGGCAGCAGCATGACGAGGCGGTACAGGGGCCCATGGCAGATTACGGGCCTGGCAGCAGCAATGGGAGGCCCGTAATCTGCCAGCACCCCTATGACAAAATGGAACCCACCAGCAGTGTGAGGAGACCTGAAAGTGGCACATGGCAGAGTGGTGGCGATGGAGACAGCAGCAATGGGAGGCCAGTACAGGGACCCATGACACACTCTGGACCTGGCAGCAGCATGAGGAGGCGGTACAGGGGCCAAGACAGATTACGGGCCTGGCAGCAAGCATGAGGAGTCGGTACGGGGGCCCATGGCAGATTACGGGCCTGGCAGCAGCAATGGGAGGCCCGTAAATCTGCCAGCACCCTATGACAAAATGGAACCCACCAGCAGTGTGAGGAGACCTGAAAGTGGCACATGGCAGAGTGTGGCGATGGAGACAGCAGCAATGGGAGGCCGTACAGGGACCCATGACACACCTCTGGACCTGGCAGCAGCATGAGGAGGCGGTAAACCGGGGCCCATGCCCTGATTACGGGCCTGGCAGCAGCATGAGGAGTTTCGGTACGGGGGCCCATGGCAGATTACGGGCCTGGCAGCAGCAATGGGAGGCCCGTAATCTGCCAGCACCCTGACAAAATGGAACCCACCAGCAGTGTGAGGAGACCTGAAAGTGGCACATGCAGAGTGTGGCGATGGAGACAGCAGCAATGGGAGGCCGTACAGGGACCCATGACACCTCTGGACCTGAGCAGCATGAGAGGAGGTTACTGGGCCCATGACAGATTACGGCCTGGCAGCAGCATGAGGAGTCGGTACGGGGGCCCATGGCCAGATTACGGGCCTGGCAGCAGCAATGGGAGGCCCGTAATCTGCCAGCAACCCTATGACAAAATGGAACCCACCAGCAGTGTGAGGAGACCTGAAAGTAGCACATGGCAGAGTGTGGCGATGGAGACAGCAGCAATGGAGGCCGTACAGGGAACCCATGACACACTCTGGACCTGGCCGCAGCATGAGGAGGCGGTACAGGGGCCCATGACAGATTACGGGGCCTGGCAGCAGCAATGGGAGGCCCGTAATCTGCCAGCACCCTATGACAAAATGGAAACCCACCAGCAGTGTGAGGAGACCTGAAAGTGGCACATGGCAAAGTGTGGCGATGGAGACCAGCAGCAATGGGAGGCCGTACAGGGACCCATGACACACTCTGGACCTGGCAGCAGCATGATGAGGCGGTACAGGGGCCCATGACAGATTACGGGCCTGGCAGCAGCATGAGGAGTTCGGTACGGGGGCCCATGGCAGATTACGGGCCTGGCAGATTGACGACGAGGCTGGCCAAGTGCGATCAGCCTGCATCATCATCAATTAGGGTCTCCACCCTCCACTACTAGCCCCCTCTGCTGCGTGTGGGTCAGGAGACAGACCTGTCTCTAGACCGGCTACCTGAGCCACTCTTAGCTCGCCAGTACTTCTTCTTCGCCTGGCTGCTGAAGGTACGGATGTCTCCCCCCGTTCCTGACCGCCCTCTGTTAGCTCTTCCTCACTGTACAGTGGGGCTGAGCCCACAGCATGCGATACTTCGCTTGGTGAGGGAACACCAAAGAATGACAGGGGGCAGGTAGAGGACACGTGAATTTCAGTGGGCTTGCTCCCGGGCCATGCCAACTAACGGTTTTGTGTCTGACGTACCCACCGACCGTTGGCTGTAGGTGTCAGAGGTGACCTGGGAAGAGGAAGACGACTGAGCCAACCAATCGATGACGGCAGGGTTGTCGTTGAGACACAACCGCTGGATGACACCGGGAGCACTGGCCTCTGGACTGCGACTAGTGCTCTGCCCCTCGACCCCTTCCTCTGCTGCCACGTCTGCTCGCTCCTAAACATTGCCTCCTCTGCCACTCCTCTTCGTGTTGTCTGACATAACTCTTTAATTCAACGATTCTGTGTCCCTGAGTAACGATTCTGTGTCCCTGAGTAACAATCTATTCTGTGTCCCTGAGTAACGATTCTGTGTCCCTGAGTAACGATTCTGTGTCCCTGAGTAACAATTCTGTGTCTGTCCCTGAGTAACGATTCTGTGTCCCCCAGTAACTATTCTGTGTCCCTCAGTAACGATTCTGTGTCCCTCAGTAACAATCTGTGTCCCTGAGTAACAATCTGTGTCCCTGGGTAACGAATTCTGTGTCCCTGAGTAACGATTCTGTGTCCCTGAGTAACGATTCTGTGTCCCTGAGTAACAATTCTGTGTCCCTGAGTAACAATTCTGTGTCCCTGAATAACGATTCTGTGTCCCCTACAGTAACGATTCTGTGTCCCTGAGTAACAATTCTGTGTCCCTGAGTAACAATTCTGTGTCCCATGAGTAACAAATTCTGTGTCTGTCCCTGAGTAACAAATTCTGTGTCCCTGAGTAACAATTCTGTGTCCCTGATAACGATTCTGTGTCCCTGAGTAACGATTCTGTGTCCCTCAGTAACGATTCTGTGTCCCTCAGTAACAATTCTGTGTCCCTGAGTAACAATTCTGTGTCCCTGAGTAACAATTCTGTGTCTGTCCCTGAGTAACAATTCTGTGTCCCCGAGTAACAATTCTGTGTCCCTGAGTAACGATTCTGTGTCCCTGAGTAACAATTCTGTGTCCCTGAGTAACAATTCTGTGTCCCTGAGTAATGATTCTGTGTCCCTCAGTAACAATTCTGTGTCCACTGAGTAACAATTCTGTGTCCCTGAGTAACAATTCTGTGTCCCTGAGTAACGATTCTGTGTCCCTCAGTAAACAATTCTGTGTCCCTGAGTAACAATTCTGTGTCCCTGAGTAACAATTCTGTCTGTCCCTGAGTAACAATTCTGTGTCCCTGAGTAACAATTCTGTGTCCCTGAGTAACAATTCTGTGTCTGTCCCTGAGTAACAATTCTGTGTCCCTGAGTAACAATTCTGTGTCCCTGAGTAACGATTCTGTGTCCCTGAGTAACAATTCTGTGTCCCTGAGTAACGATTCTGTGTCCCTCAGTAACAATTCTGTGTCCCTGAGTAACAATTCTGTGTCCCTGAGTAACAATTTTGTGTCCCTGAGTAACGATTCTGTGTCCCTGAGTAATTTCTGTGTCCCAGAGTAACGATTCTGTGTCCCTCAGTAACAATTCTGTGTGTCCCTGAGTAACAATTCTGTGTCCCTGAGTAACGATTCTGTGTCCCTCAGTAAACGATTCTGTGTCCCTGAGTAACAATTCTGTGTCCCTGAGTAACAATTCTGTGTCCCTGAGTAACAATTCTGTGTCTGTCCCTGAGTAACAATTCTGTGTCCCCTGAGTAACAATTCTGTGTCCCTGAGTAACAATTCTGTGTCCCTCATAACAATTCTGTGTCCCTGAGTAACAATTCTGTGTCCCTGAGTAACAATTCTGTTGTCTGTCCCTGAGTAACAATTCTGTGTCCCTGAGTAACAATTCTGTGTCCCTCAGTAACGATTCTGTGTCCCTCAGTAACAATTCTGTGTCCCTGAGTAACAATTCTGTGTCCCTCAGTAACGATTCTGTGTCCCTCAGTAACAATTCTGTGTCCCCGAGTAACAATTCTGTGTCCCTGAGTAACAATTCTGTGTCTGTCCCCTGAGTAACAATTCTGTGTCCCTGAGTAACAATTCTGTGTCCCTGAGTAACGATTCTGTGTCCCTAAGTAACGATTCTGTGTCCCTAAGTAACGATTCTGTGGCCCTAAAGTCTCTCTGGCCCTAACTCTGTCCCTAATACAGACAGGTCTGTCTCTCTTGAATGACCGGAGGCTAATGGAGAATTGTAAGATGGGCCGCAATTTATAGCTCCACCAATTACACAGTGCTGGCTGGCTGGCTGCTGACTGGCTAATGCGATCACATGTCATGAATGAATGCATTATGGGTCAGCGCGCCTTGTCTGCGCGCCTTCCCAGAGATCCCCGCTCCGTCGCCACACATGTCGCCGCCATTTTTGGGAAAATTCGATTCGTGCATCCGAAGTTTGCTAATTTTCGGATTCGGCGCGAATCGAATTTTTTCCTGATCTTCGAAACAAATTCCACTTCGCCATGTTTGATTCGCTCATCTCTAGTTATGAGACTGCTCATTGTTAGAACACATAACCCCTTCACAGGGTGAATGGAATACTTACACTCATGTTCATCTGTCTTCTTTTTTTGAAAAGTCTGAAGAGGGTTGTTTTGATTGGGAAAGCTCTGAGACTAATAATTTCACAAGGTTTTGCCTGCTGCTTAAAGCAGCTAAAAAAAACCCTAAATTTAATGAAGTAGAAAATAGCTTTCTTAGTAACAAATCCCAAAGAGTTAACATCTGCTAGATGGATGCCGATACTGCACCTACCAACCACATTCTCCGGGTGGGTAATGAACCAATACTTTGCCTTGCCATAGAACAGGACATGATGAAAATGTTTTGTTAAGAAGAGCAACAAAAAGATTGGAATCTGCAACAGAATTACAATATTCTGCAATGTACACAAACCATCCAAGGGAACTGTTGACATTAAACATTTTTTTAGAGAAACTAGAGAGCACAAACAAGTATAAAAAGGGATGCCCTATACTTCAACAGGCAATTCTGGGTATAGTAGTCATCCACAGGTGACTCCTCTACCTTGTCTGGGAATGCTGGTCTTTTGAGGGAGTTGGCATAGTGGCACAATAGTAAAGCAAGCATGAGAAGCCACCAACAGGTTAATGCCATGTGTGTACTCGCAAATTATTATTTTGTACAGCTGGTATGCAGAGTACTATCTGTGGAAGAGCTCAGGGTATGCACAGCAGCTGCAGGGAGCAAGGCACAACAATACCTAGCAATGCAGCATTAATTTGGATACAAAGCTTTTTTAAATGTAGCTCACCCAACCTCTGCCATCCAGCTGTAAACACTAGCACTGCACAGGTGTGCATGCCTAGGAGAGACTCTGCTGACATCGCTGCCCACTTCACATGGACCCAGCGGACCCCAGACAAAGGTGTTAGCTGTGATAAAAGCTGCCCCGAGGACCAGCAGTGGGGCTTCCTGGATTAT